TGACAGTAAAGTAAGCCAAAGGAAGAAATAGTTCAATCTTATACTTGTCTTTAAAGAACAGTATTTCTCCACGGAGTGTGGTGATAGCATCAAATGTCAGGCGGGGGTCACAGGCGATGGGTGTGGTTGGTCCCGTTGGTTGGATAGGGTTGTCTGAAGGTCCTGAAAAACAAAAGGCTTTTTGTAAGTGCAAGCCCAGTGTGATTTTTTTTTTTTTTGTATTTCAGCACTTTTCAGGGCGATGAAGCATCTTCACACGAAGAGGAGCACTGCTCGACTACCACACAAGGCGTCAATGTAACTGTACATTTGTCCCTCTTAAAATTTTAAAAAATAAGAGTCATGGTAATTTTCAGAGACAGTTACAGATTAAATTTTGCAGTTAATAAATTTGAATTCTATGCTCCATTTAAAAATCTTAATCACACCCTTCTCCTCCTTTTTGCTCCCTCTTTCTGCATTTTTGGGTCACTTAGTATCCAATTCCCACTCCTCCAAAATCCACCTTCAGAAAGGAACTGATACCAGACTTTTACCCTACAGCATAGATCTAAGTCAAATTTTAGCAATATGATTTTCTATAACTATTTGCACTTAGAAGTGTTTTTTCATTGTTGATTGAGAGAGTTAAGAGAACTTAAAACTTTGGTGAGCAAAGGAAGCAGGTGTTTTCAGGGGAAAAGAAGTTGGGGAGGGAAGGCAGTTAGAGTAGGTCTCATCATTCCTAAAACTTCTACTGTGATGATAAACATTCCCTAGTTGTGGTGTCTTGGCAGGCCTGGTTTTGTAATTCTATCCCACCAGAGAGAACAGAATGCTCCCCCCAGTTTCATTCCACTTCACTCTCCATTCCATTTCCTTCAACACATTTTAGTCACAGCCACTAGCGGGCAGGAGGGCAAGAGAGAGGAGAGATGCAATGGTCTTATCCAGATAGTACTTCTATAACAGGGCCAAAGGCTTCTATATACCTCCCCAAAGTTTCAGTCATCCTATCTAATAACGAGGGAACATGCTAATTGACCATCATGTCCTACAAAGATGGCAGCACCCACAGCCAATAAGGAGGGAATATGCTAACTGACTGCCATGCCCTGAAAGATGGCGGCACCCACAGCCACAAAATGGCAGCACCCAGTCCCCTCAGCCACCCAGGGCCAGCCCGAGGTGCAGGCAAGCCTTGGACGGTGGCTACCCAGTCACCCAGGGCCACCCGATGCTCAAGTAACCAGGGCCAGCTGAGGAAATGGCAGCAGCAGAGGTGTGATGGGGGCATCACCTTCCCCTGAGGACTCCCAGACTGTGGGAGGGGCAGGCCGGGCTGAGGGACACCCCATTCAGTGCATGAATTTTCATGCACTGGGCCTCTAGTGACTTTAAAAAATGTTTCTCTCCATTTCCATTCACATTATCCAGAGGTTGGCTATGGGAGTGCACTGACCACCAAGGGGTGCACCCTGTGTTGAGTGTCTGCCCCCTGGTGGTCAGTTCATCGTCATAGCGACCAGTCTAAACGGTCACTTAGATTTATACACATATATACATATGTATATATGTATATATATGTATATATATGTATATCTTCTTGTTAGCATGCTAAAATACCTTTCTTTGTCTATGTGCATATTTAACTTATATAGATTCATATACTGTGCAATTTAATTTGTACTGTGTATGACGTATCATTCTGTTTCTTTCCCATGAAGTGCAATGTTTTAAAGACCCATCCCTGTTGTTGCCACACATACATATAATTCAGTGCTTCCCGCTGCTGCACATGCTCTATGGCATGAATCCAGCACATTTCACCTGTGCATTCTCCTCCTAATAGACTCCCAAGTGCTCTCCAACTTCCACCACCACGAACAGTGGCTGCAATGAATGTCCTTGAATGCCCAGGTCTTACTACGTTCTGCAATGTTCTTCAGATGACCTTACCATAGATGGCCTGAATGCCATTGATGTCATCTTGAGGGAGCAAGTAGGTGCTGGTTTCGCTGAAGGCATAGTTGGGATACATCAGGGCACCGGGGTCAGTAGAGTGAGAGAGCCCCAAGGAATGGCCAAATTCATGGGCAGCAACAAGAAACAAGTTGTAATCTGAAATGCAAGCATGTGTGGTGAGTGGCTTGGTATACCCGAGGGTGGTGGAAAGATGATCTCAAGGAATGCAGCTACTGAGCCAAAACTGTCTGGAGAAATAGTCTTTCATGCCTGTCACTTTCTTTTTCTCTCCAGGGAATTGAAGATTAGAAGGAATCAGGATTCAGATTCGGTGACTGTGAGCTTCACATAAAATTTTAGAATAAAATAGACCTGCCTTTATTGTGATTCCCATGTTTCATGGATGTGGCCCTGAGGCTTAGGGAGATGTTAGCAGAGCCCTCACAGGTCTCATGACCCTCAGAGACCCTCTCCTCCGGTGCACCCCTGTCAGTCTCCCAGGTCCTCAGGCCCATTAGCAGGGTCTCAGGAAACAGGCAGTTAGCTAGAAGCCTGCCAGGCAGTGGAGTAGCCTCAGGCACTGAACTGACTCACTGCTCATTCAAAGCCCAGCACCAGCTCTTCCCTGTTCCAAGTTCTCCAAACAGCTTCCAGAATTCTCCACCCGAAAGAGACAAACCCTGCCTCTTATTGCTCCATTCCCTCAACTTTTAACTTCACAAGCATAGAGCCATTCACAACTAGAAACTTAAAATTTCCAAGGCTCATACTTTTTAAATCAAATAAAGCCCAAGTTCATTTGCCAAGTCCAAGACCTCTCCACGTGGCTCCAGCAGACATCTGGGGGTTTGGCTTCCGATGTGAACCCCTCCCTCCAGCCAGTCCATGTGCCGTCTCAAGGCACACTGTCCATTTTCTCACATGCCTACATTGTAAATCAGGGCTGGGAGCACTCCCTTTATGCTAGGAAGTGTAATACTATTTCATCCTCACAGCATTTTTGTCAAGTATGGTTAAAAATATTTTTACAGTAAGGAACTGAAGCACACAGATTTTGAATATCTTGTTAGTCTTGTAACCAATAAGTGGTAGAGCTGGGGTTAAACCCAGGTATGATGGCAAGACTTGTGCTCTTACCATAATGTTCAACTTCCTATTGATAAGTAGCCTCATAAAATTCTCCCCATGCTCCAAGACTTGCTTTCTTGATCATTATATCTTTTTTTTCATTTATGAGTGCATTACAAAGAGCACCTTTGAGTGACAGAGGTTCTGGGGATTTATCACCGTGCACAGTCTGGAAGGGGAAATGCATGAAAAAAAAGATGAATGCATAGAGTAATGACAGCAGGTGGAGGAGATAGAAAGGCTGTCAGTAGGTGTTCTCAGGAGGAGGCCTCACTTCCCGATGAAAGATAGGATTGAGGTAGCATTGGACACAGCCTGGGAAGAGAGAGATATTGAAAGGCAGGGCTTGAGGTGTGGGGAAAGGCATTTTAGGAAGAGGAAGCAACAGGAGCTAGTACAGGGAAGTTGGAAAGTACATGGTGTGATTTAGGAACAGTCAACGCACAGTGTGGCCGCTGCATGTGAACTATGAGAAGCCAAGAAAGATGAGGCTGGAAAGTCGCCAAGAGCCTTCAATGCCAAGTGAAAGTGTTTGGCCGTTATTTGGTCCATATGACGTAAGCACTGAAAGTGATAAGCAAGAGACTCATGAAATCCCAGATAGACTTTTCAAAGACAAACCTTGCTGCAGCGTTGGGAAAAGTCAGAGGGAGCAGAGGTTGGAGGTGAACAGTCCAGGTGGGAACCTGGGTCATTTAATTCCGGTGGGAGGTCATGACCATCTGATCTAGCCATCATTGGCCAATAGGAATGCATAGTGGTTGGGACTGTAATTTATCTGTGGGTACACACGGCTCCTAGCACAGGGACTCAAGTAGAATAACCTTACAGCCTACATGGGGAGGAAATGGTGGGAGGAACAAGGCCCGAGAGAAGGTAAAAGGTTCCCTTTCTATTATTTTCTCAAGTGCTCTGTAACATTGTTTGTCACCCCAGGGCCTTGTGAAGTGTCATATGGCCCACATGTACCTGTCCTTCTCCTCAAGAGTCCCACCTCTTTTTATTCTGAGCCTTCTCCTGAGCAGGATGGTCTGTTATGTAGAAACATACCATTGAAAAGGAGGTCGGTGAGCCCTAACCAGTTTGACTCAGTGGATAGAGCGCCAGCCTGCAGACTCAAGGGTCCCAGGTTCGATCCGGCCAAGGGCATGTACCTTGGTTGCAGGCACATCCCCAGTAGGGAGTATGCAGGAGGCAGCTGATCGATGTTTCTCTCTCATCGATGTTTCTAACTCTCTATCCCTCTCCCTTCCTCTCTGTAAAAAATCAATAAAATATATATTAAAAGAAAAGGAGGTCGGTGAAGACCCAGTAACTAGATGAAAAAGAAGATGGCTGCTCTTCATTAAGTAGGACAGTTTTCTAAATGAACCCAAATATTTCTGGGTTTCCAAAAGTAGGACCTTTTACAAACATCATTATATTTCAGAATACTAAGAGAAACATACACCCTAGAGCAGCGGTCAGCGAACTTGTTTGGTAAAGGCCCAGGTAATGAGTGTTTTAGGCTTTGTGAGCCATGGTGCCTCTGTGGCAGCCACTCAGCTCTGCCCTGGCAGCAGGAAAGCAGCCACAGATGACACGTAGGCAAACAAGTGTGGCCCTGTCCCGTCAACACAGAGTTTCCACAAACAAGACCTATGATCTGTAGCTTTCTGATTTCTGCCCTAAGAAATGATCCATAATTAGAGTCAGGATTTTTTAAAAACCTAAATTGACTTAGTATCTTGAGAAAGCAAAATTTTTAAATGGTCAGTTTGTGTGAGTTTGAAGTGTTATAATAACTTGGATGTGTGTGTGTGTGTGTGTGTGTGTGTGTGTGTGTGTGTGTGGTGTGTGATGTGTATGATGTATATTGTGAAGGGAAAATATTTATTCAGAAGCCACATGTTGACCTGACCTTGGTTAACGTACTTTCAGAGGTTTTGGTCCATGTTTCTTCTGCATCAAAATGAGCATCTCCTCCAATACCTTGGCCTGGCTGGAAGGCATGGGCAAGGATTCCATTGGGCCCATCAAACGGAGAGTTGTCACCATGAGCTGAAATAAAATAATTTGTGTTAGGATGTTGCCAAGTCTCTCTTCAGCCAGAGAAAGCAAAATTGAGCGTGACCGCTTCGAGCCCACCTCTTTGGACAAAGGCAATGTTGATGTCTGCTTCTCCCTGTGAGGCCTTGGTGAAGCTCAGGGGTGATACGTCACTCCAGACTTGAAAGGCTTTCTTAATAGCTGCTTCCACATCATCCTCTGACAATTGTGGGGTGTAGTTAATAATCCTTCAAAATGAGAAGATGTGTGATGGCTCATCGTTTAGAACTCCAATAGCTTGAGTTTCTCCACTTTAGAGTGAATTACATACATGATGGGCTACCACTGGAGACATGTAAGGAGGGAGTGCAGGACTCAGGGTTGAAGACAGATACGGGTTCTGCACATGTTAGTACATGTTTTTAAATTTAGCTTCTTTATTTATAAAATGAGGATAATAAAATAGTACCCATGTCATAGAGTTGTTGTGGGAGACTAAATACATGTAAAGCATTTAGTTCAGTTTTTGAAAATATTAGCATTGAACAAATATTGTTATAATACTAACAAATAGTATTATTATTATTATTATTATTATTAGATGAATGGAAGGTGGGGCCAGTTTCTCTCCAGCAATGATTAAGCTTTTTTTTTTTTTTAAATCCTAAAGTGAGTTCTTAGACATTGACATAGTCCTCTTTAGATTATTAGAAGGAAGTAACAAATGACAGGCTTTGGAATGAAGAGATCTTTACCCTTTCATACTCATTCATTAGCATCTAAAACTCTACAAGGGCAGCGATATTTATTTGCTTGTCTCTGGTCTATCTCAAATCCTAGAACAGCGCCTGCCACATTATACATTCTCAATAACAACAGGATGCGTGAGTACGTTTTGAAGCCCCTGGAACAGCACCTGTAGGTCAGGTTAGTGTGTTTCCACTTGGGGTATCCTGGGGTCAACATAAATTCACCAGTGTCGGGCACGCCACAGCGAGGCTTTTGCATCATCTCCAGAGTTTCCGCATTGGGCTTCCCCGTCACGGTCAACCCGAAGAATTGCTGCATTTCCTTCAGCTTTTCAACAATCACACTGGCACTGTTCTTTCTTTCAGACTGATAGATGTCCTTGGGTAACTGGTAGAACTTCTCCAGGTAATTCTGGACAAAGACAAACCTGTGAGGGAACTTGCTCTGAAATTACCTTCACTCCTCTGGGCATTTTGCATTCCTTTTAAGTTACCACAGACTTGAAACAGTCTAATATCCTGACAGCCACAGAAACAGAAAACACAAATTTGTAGGTTGACTTTGAAAGAACAATGCCTATTTGAAAGAACAGCCCCCCACCCAGTCAGCACTCCAATGGTTATACAAAATAAAAAAGGTATTTCATAAGGGATGAAGTACAAGACCCATGCAAAATGCTAGACCACACCTAGACTGCCTTATTTTTACAAAAAAATAGCATTAGCATTTATTGTCTTCTTGAGGTATTAGCTGCATCAATGCAAACTCTCTCTTTTAATCCACTTTTCACTATTACAGAGGGGGTTTACTCCTCCTCATTGAGAAGTGGAGGCGTATAAAATAAATAAAAATAAAAATAAATATAAAGCCACTCTGAAAAAGGAAAGAAATGCAGGTGCAGAGAAGGAAGGAACTGGCCAAGATGACAGTTCCCAACTCATCATATTGCTTCTCAAGTGGGAATTCACAATTTCATAAAAGAACATATGTGCATACCCCATGGACACAGACAATATTTTGGTAAAGGCCAAGAAAGGTGTAGGTGGAGGAGGGTGGAAGTGGGCAAAGGGGGAGGGGGTTATTTCCTGTAATAATGCCAATACTAAAAAAATTTTAAGAAAAAAAAAAGGCCCTAGCTGGTTTTACTCAGTGGATAGAGCATTGACCTTCGGACTGGGGGGTTCTGGGTTCAATTCTGGTCAAGGGCACATACCTCGGTTGCAGGATCTTCCCTGGCCTGGGCCCTGGTTGGGGCTTATGCAGGAGGCAACAAATCGATGTGTTTTTCTCACATTGATATTTCTCTCTGTCTTTCCCTCTCCCTTCCACTCTCTCTAAAAATTATTGGAAAAACATCGATGAGAATTTAAAAAAATAAAAATAAATAAAAAAGAATGAATTAATCAATCAACAAATAAACAGAAATTGAATAAATAAAAAAAGAAATCCAAATAAGTTTTTGGGCAACATTAGCCTCACTGACATTAACATTTTATGTGGCCCAGTAACTCTTTTAAAGGGGCCAACACTCATTAGGAGATAGAGGCTCTGGGGGGTGTGCAGGCAGTCTTAAAATTTCTTAAGCAGCCTTTGAATTCCGGGCACTTTGTAAGTGATAGAGGACAGGGCACTTTGAGGCTCTCACAAGCTATGGGATCAGATTGGTTTTGGTTCCAATCTTATTTCTGCCCCAAATTAACTGTGAGTTCTTGGACATATCACTTAACTGATTTAAGAGTCACTTTGGTCTCTTAAAGAGGAAATTAATAATAATAATACCTCTTTCACAGGGTTGTCATAAGGATGAAATTAGATAATATATCAGAATAAATACTGAATAAACTAGTTATTAGCCAGGGTTACTATTACCATTATAAGAGATACTTTTAAAACATAAAAGATAAAAAGAAAAAGAAATAAGCACAACACTTTTCTAAAACTGGAATGCTAAGAAAATCACGTATGACAAGTTTGGGGCAGTTTTCTCTTGTGCGTCTTAAAAATTTGGCCTAATGTTCATACTGGGAAACAACAGAAAAAGGCTATTGGT